ACTACCTTATAGAAAATAAAATTACTCTTCTCTGTTGCTTTACTCAGTGAAATGACCATACATATCTATGAGGGCAGAAAGGGGCGGGGTAAGAGATCAACCAAAGGACTTATATGCATGCATATAAGCATACTCAATGGAAATAAGACACTGGGGGGTAGGGGAGGCCAGGGGATTGTCAAGGGCGGGAGGAAAAAAGGAGACATATGTAATACCCTTTGTAATACTTTAAGCAATAAAAAATAAATAAATAAATAAAAAGAAAATATCAATGAATATTTGTGTAAGCCCTTGTAAGAATCCTATCTAATAAAAGACAAAAAGGGTAATTGACCATAGCTTCACTACGCTTCCCATTGGCTAATCAGGGTGATAAGCAAATTAAACGCCCACCAAGATGGCGGCTGGCAGCCACATAGCTGAAGTGAGCAGGAGGCTTGTTTGCTCCAGTGATGGCGGAAGCCAAGGTTCCCTGCCTGCCATGGCCTGGCTCTGAGCTCCGAAATCAACAGCTCCGAAAGCAACAAAGTTTCAATTATAGAAGGTAAATAAATCCCAGATTAAAAAAAAAAAAAAAGCAAAAAAGGAGAGGCTGGGAGCTTCAGTCGCAGGCCAGCCTGAAAACGGCCCTCAGCCCCTCACCCAGACTGGCCAGGCACCCCACTGGGGACCCCCCCGCTAAAGGGGGTGTGGCCAGCCTGGAAACAGCCATCATCCCCTCACCCAGGCTGGCCAGGCACCCAAGCGGGACCCCCACCCTGATCTGGGACACTCTTCAGGGCAACCCAGCCGGCCCCGACCTATGCACCAGGTCTTTATCCTATATAATAAAAGGGTAATATGCAAACTGACCCTAACAGCTGAAAGACTGGGAATGACTGGTCACTATGACACACACTGACCACCAGGGGGCAGACACTCAATGCAGGAGCTGCCCTCTGGTGGTCAGTGTGCTCCCACATGGGGGAGCTCTGCTCAGCCACAGCCAGGCTGATGGCTGCCAGTACAGCGGTGGTGGTGGGAGCCTCTCCTGCCTCCTCAGCAGCGCTAAGGATGTCCGACTACAGCTTAGGCCTGCTCCCCGCTGGCAAGTGGACATCCCCCGAGGGCTCCTGGGCTGCCAGAGGGATGTCTGATTGCCAGCTTAGGCCCAATCCCTGGCGAGCAGGCCTAAGCCAGTAGGTGGTCATCCCCCGAGGGGTACCAGACTGTGAGAGGGCACAGGCCAGGCTGAGGGACCCACCACCCCGAGTGCACAAATTTTTGTGCACCGGGCCTCTAGTCCTATATAATAAAAGCCTAATATGCTAAGTGCCCAGTCGGATAATTGTCAGTTCAACCAATCAAAGGGTAATATGCTAATGATATGCTAAAGCTGCTCAACCGCTTGCTATGACATGCACTGCCAGCAGGGGCAGACAGTCAACGGATCAACCAGTTGCTATGATGTGTACTGACCATGAGGGGGCAAATGCTCAATGCAGGAGCTGTCCACTGGTGGTCAGTGTGCTCCCATGGGGAAGTGCCACTCAGCCAGAAGCCAGGCTCATGGCGGACAAGCGCAGCCTCCGAGAGCTCCCAGACTGTGAGAGAGTGCAAGCAGGGCTGAGGGACGCCCCCAACGCCCCCACTAATGCACGAATTTCATGCACCAGGCCTCTAGTGAGACCATAAAGAAATGCCTGACAGATTGGGGGTATAGAAAACCTTCCAATATCATGACAAAAAGATACCAGTAAATCTAGAATGCAAAATTTTTAACAAAGAAAAGATGAGCAGCTGAATAGAAAGATGAGATAAAAACATAAATAAGCAATTCATAAAGGACATTTCAATGATCAACAAACTTAGGTGACCATACATACCTACCTCACAAATAACCAAAGAAGTGCAGGTAGAAACAATTGTGAAATGGCATGTTTTTTTATTTGCATAAAGGACTAGCAAAAACTAAAAAAATAATTCTCAGAGTTGCAGGGGTGTGGAGAAATGGGTAACCCAGGGCCACACTGTGCCTTGCAGGCCCTGTGCACATTGTCCTTCATGGGTTCCCTCTCCATTAAAGAAAACATAAAAAAGTACACTTTATAGCTGCACTGGTACATAAAATATGCAATCCAGTCTGGATCTATTGTGTATTATAAAGTCATTGGTATTATATTTTCTCCTGATTTTAAAAGAAGTTAAGCCATTTCCATAACCCCTACAACTATAGTGGGCTTTGGCAATGTGGAATTGGCAGGTGTGTAAGCCTTTTTGGTGAGTAATTTAGATGCATCTACCAAAACTCAAAATGTGCCTTACTTTAGACCCATTAGGTACATTTGTAGGAATTTTATCCCATAAAAATACCCACACAAATAGGCAGCCATACATGTAAAAGGGAGTTCATTACATCATTCACTGTTTGTAACAGAAAGAAATGTAAAACAGGCTAGCTACCCAATATGAGGGAATGGTGAAGTTAATTTCAGCCAGGAAAATGCAGGTATATATATATATGGGCTGGAAAGTTCACTTTTGTGTACTTTTGAATTTAAGCAGCCAGATTATAGAATAATATTTAGTAAGCTCACATTAATGTTTTACACAGATGCATACATTTCCAGGGACTGAAAAGATACACTACCAACTATTAATGTGGTTGTCTCTAGTCACACAGCAGAGGTGGGGAATGCCTCTGGATTGTATACATTTTTATAATGTGCATTTATTATTTATATAAAAAGAAAGATTTGCATTTTGAAGAGAAACATATTTCTTTTTCTTTCTTTTTTTTTTTTTTTACCAAGTCTGGAGCTCCTCTGCGGAGCGTCTTCACACCCAGCGGTGAAGCACCCAACGATGCTCAGATAGCCAAGTGGGGTTCTTCCCCCGACATCCTGCAAATCAGAAGGGCGAGAGGCAGCACAGGCTTCAAAGCTCTGAAGCCAACACCAAAAAAAACAAAAACCAAAGGCAGCCGAGTTTTCCTCTCGAAACTATAGGGGCTGGTGCCCAAGTCACAAAAGGAAGCTCTCACCTGGCCCTCCAAAAGCTTTCGGAGGCCCCCCCGGCCAGCGCTCACCCCAGGACAGAGCAGAGTTCCGACGGCAGTTAGGAGAGTGGCAGTTGGGCGTGGGGGTGTCCTGGGAGCCCCGCTACCCAGGAGCGGGG